TAAGCATATATTCGTTCTCATTTGTTTTGCATGTATTGTGCCGCTTTAAGAATAAGCATATATTCGTTCCAATCCTTTACACTTGCAAACTCCCCAGTTAAAACTAGATCTGAATTTGCAGTTCGCTTAGCGCGGTTGTCATATATTTTATTGCTGTCTTTTCTGGGCCTAGCCTTTTCTAACCCGTCGACATCGATGATTTCTAGATTATCTGGCATATCATATGTGTATGCTACATAAGTAAAAGTCACAGCTAATCTGAATGACAGTGTGATGTAGATCTCAAATTTCTCGAGAAACGGTGTTAAAAAAAAAAAGAGATTGAAAATTATTAAATGCTATCTTGATTACATTAAGAGTTACAAATTGAAAATGTGTTAACGAATAAATACATAAATGTGATGGGTATAAAAAAAATCAAGAACATGAAAATATATGAGTAATATATGAGTATCTGCTAAAAAAAAATTGTTTAGAGAATATTTTAAAATATTTTTGGGAACTTTTGTATAAAAAAAAACCAGGTGTTTTTAAAAAAATTAAGAAGTCCAAGTAGACCATTTTTAGCATTTTTGATTACATGGAAATGTAACAAGTGTCTGTCCAACAACATACACATTGCCCCTCATTCGTATATTTAAAGTCCAAGAAATATTATCGCAAAGTAAAACAAACCAAGAAATTATGTATGCTCGTGACCGAATCTTTTGGTTCTATAGATCCATGATGTCAACTGAGCAGCAGAAATTTTTGACAACTTTATTAAGAATTATATAAATGTTCCACAATGCTATGAAATGCATCTGTTAAATTGAGTTTTCGGAGACTTGAACTGAATCCTGATTCCTACCAAAAGGTGCGCTGAAATTCACGCAAGATAGTGCGGGATAGTGTTTTTATTATTATTATTATTATTATAATTTTAGACTAATGAAATAAATTCTTAGACTAAAAAAAAAGACATTGAGCACTAGCAGTACAGGCTATCGGCTCTAATTTATGAAAGTACATTAGATATTGAGTCTAGTAGTTTTAATAAAGTAATATATTGAATTGATATTCTGTTCTGAAGCTGATTTTAGAATGTCCAAAGGGTTAATAGTTCCAAATGCAATAGAGAATGTGCGGAAAATTTTTAATGAAAGGTCCAATTCCTTTGCTACGTACAAACAATAGTTAATTGCAGATGGTGACTTTTGAATTTTCTTCGCAATAATAATCTTTGTCACGTCATCACCGAGAATGGATTTGTTTGAATTAAGAAGCTTGAGGACTATTTTAGCTTTTAACTCATACAGTCTATTTTCTAAAGTTGGGAGACCAGTTTAAATTATAATATTATATATGGGCGTCGTCCGAAAAGCATAACAACTTGCTCTGACGGCTTGGTGATAGACCGGTTTAAGGATGTTGATATTATATTTGCAGCTATTGCGATAAATTATCACAGCATAGTCAATCTTGCTGAAAACAAGCATTTTGGTGAGATAAGCAATAGTGTTAATGTGCGCATGACTTTTCCAAGCAACGTACTGTATGAAATTCACCCTTGTTAAAATAGAATTTTTTTACCGAAGACAGTGTGTTTTTCACGGATATTTGTTGGAAAACGTGAGCCCGAGAATATGGAGCGTCTGCACGTTTTGTACTGGTAAGTCATTAATATGCATCATTTGTTTAGAAATTTTAGCCCCTCACGAGTTTGCCCATGTGAAGATTTCGCGTCCAATAGATTCAAGGGTGTTCGTTGCTTTCGTGCTACCCTGCCGTAGAGACAATGTTTGATTCTCTATACGCGGCAAAGAATTTTGCTAATTTCTTTGAAGGTGATCTGGAAAGGCGTGACAGAAGGAGAAGATCCTTGCGGAATGTCATTCATTAGTGGAAAGGAATCAGAGATGATTGTTAATTCTAACTTTAAACGGCCGATGCGACATGAACGATTTGATATAGTTGAAGAATTTGGGTCCAACATTCCATGATTTCAAATAACATGAAGACCAACTCTGTCAAAAGCTTTTTCGAAATCAATTGAGAGAATTGTTACGTGATTTCCTTCGGAGCACTGGAAAAGTTGCTGCCAGAGGAATACTCGCACCACATTTGTCCAAAGTAATTAGAAATCTCATCTGCGACAGTTAAAGTTTCAATGGGAGGGCAGATGGCAGAAATTTCGTTCAGATATGAAGTCCCATTGAGTCTGTTGATTTTGTTCTAGACAACTTTCATTGATGTATTTCTGTGAATTCGGAGAGAAGTGCGTTGGTTTTCCATTATTTAAAATGCAGAGATTGCTTTGAATGAAGGCCTTTTCTAAAACTGTTCCACGACTATTGTTCACAGTTGAGCCCCCCATGGTTTTCCAGCTATTGAAGTCGCCGGAAATAATTAATAAGGGGGAAAGTAGAAAGAAAAAATTGTAAAGTTCTAGTTGGGAGAGCGATTGCGAAGGTGAGATGTAGAGCGAAAGCACTGTAAATTTTATGTTTAAGATTATTTGTATCGCTATAGCCTGCATGTTTGACCTTAAATTTTTGCGTTTGTGAGGTATACTTGATTTTATAAAAACACCAATTCCCTGTTTGAAATATAAATTTTGCTCAGCTTTCGGAAAGTATCCGGTATATGATTTGGGTTGAATAGTATTAAAAGAGCTTCTACAACGGGTCTCTTGAAGCGATATAAAGGTTGGATTGAAATCATTTACGAGTGTACGAAGTTCATCGAAATTATTAAGAAGTCCCTTAATGTTCCATTGTAGAATTTTAAAAACTTTATTTAATTGTAGTGACATGGAAAGGTAGTGGTAGGTGAATTAAATTGACGTGTCAGCGTCTCCGTCGAAAAGGCCTCTATAGAAATTTTGCGTGAATAATTTGTTCTTACCAGCAGAATAATCTGTAGTTAGGTGTTTGTGTAAATTTGAAGTGCAACGAGTGGGCACACATGAATGATTTGAAATTGAAGGTTAATTGAGGGATGGAAGATTGGATTCATTACAGCTTGTAATTTGTTGAGTAGAGTTGAGAACTGGTGATTCTGGGGGAGTTTATTAGATTTTGGCATATGTGTTGTTGTTTTAATTTTTTCAATATTTGCTGTTGTTTTTATTTTTTGAATATTATCTTTGGCGGGCAATGGAACTGATTCGGCAATGTAATTTTTGGTTGATGGTAGAACAGCTTTTCCATTGGAAGGAGTTGGAGTTAAAGGCTTATTAGCCTCGATTTGCGAGGCGACAACAGCGCAGTTATTACCTTTGTTAATTCTTTGGGTTCCAGATGGATTAATTTCCCGGTTCTTGCGTCGCGCTTCGTCCATGCTAAGGTAATTTTCTGTTTTGATTTTTAGAATTTCACGCACTTGTATAAAACGTGGGCATTGTTTGTCTAACGCTGAGTGTTGATCGTTGCAATTTAAGCAGAAGCTACGCGTACAGTTTTCAGGATGTGGAGGAAGAGCACAGTTAGCACAAGATGTAGCACTGGTGCATCTTTTTCCCGTATGACCCAGGCGTTGGCAGTTTTTACACCTCATAGGATTTGGAATGCAGAGTTCTACTTTACATTTGTACCAAGCTACATCAACAGTTGGCGGTAGCCGATAGCGGTCAAAAGTCAAAATAATCCTCCTGTAGGGGACCGTCATTTAAGTTGGCGAATTTATAGACTTCAGTGACTCCTTGACTGCCCATTTCACGAGCAATTTCATCTTCCGACACGTGCTTTAAGCATGGGGCATAAACTACACCTTTAACCGAGTTCAGTTTGTCATGCAGTTTAGCGGAAATAGCACATAAATTAGCCAATGATTTCAATTTTAGGAGGTTTTTAGTTTTTGCAACAACACTGAAAACACACGAACTTTGTACACAAAAACACCGAAAACAATTAAAAAGTCACAGACAAAAATAAAACACGCACTACTCAGACAACAAGTCGACAGTTTTTGACAGGGATAGTGTTTTAATTTCGTCAATTGCCAAGAGATTAATTGAAATATTAGTTTAGGCCACACACATCTACAGTGACTCGCCAGAAACTTCGGGAGCTTGGTTGGGAAGTTTTAATGCATCCGCCATACAGTCCGGACTTGGCACCAACCGATTATCATCTTTTTCTTGCATTGCAAAATTTCTTTAATGATAAAAAATTGGAATCTAGGGAGGATTGTGAAAATCGACTTCCAAAATTTTTTTGCAAATAGAGACGAGGACTTCTATGAGAGAGGCATTTTGAAGTTACCTTTAAAGTGGCAACAAATCGTACAACAAAACGGTGCATATTTGACCCAAATCGGACAATCCGAAGTATGTTAAATAAAGTCCTGAAGTTCATATAAAAATAATGGATATCTTTTTCCCCAAACTAACAACCAACAGGCAAGAAGAAAAAAGAAATCATTGATGTTTTCAATGCTTTACTAGATATGCTAGAGTGACCTTTAAC